GTGCCCTCCCCGAGCCCGCCCCGGTCGGGGACGCCGCCCCTTCCGCGCGCCTCCGAGGGAGCGAGCCCGCGGGCACCTCGGGCCGGGCTAAGGTTGTCGCGAACTGAGCCAGGTACGCGCACCTGTCAGGTACCAGCGACCGAGATGCGCAGGAGCCTTGCAGAGACACCGAGACGCGTACAGCCACGGCCATCTGGACTCAGGAGCTCGACACTCAAGAACTTGCGCACTTTGAGTGAATCAGCCACACAGAAGTTGGTCCACACTGGAGGTGGCGCGGTAAAGACCGGTGCGCTAGACCAGCACTTCTCACATGGAGCCGGGACACCCAACAGGCCAAGACTGAAGCAGTTACCCAGAGGTGGGGCCATCACTCAGAGCCTGGCTCACTTTTTCTGAAATAAAAACTTTCTCAAAACAGAAAGACAGGTACAGCCAGCAGATGGATGCCCAGTGACAGAGGAGAGAAACCAGGGAAGGCAGGGACATTGGCACCAATGACTGTGTGAGAATACTGTTGCCCGTGCTGCAAAACTTACCCGCCCCACCGGCACCCACCTCTCCACTAGGGTGCTTGTCGGTTCCTAAGTCAGGCATGATCCCTCCCTTGCACACAGCACTTTAGAGCCTACATGAGGAGGACAGAGATGTTTGTGCCATTTCCCCTTGAGAAATTCAGAAAAGGCCAGTTGCCCCAGCTAGAAAGACTCCGAACCAGAACCAAAATTCCCTTTCCAGAGCATCAGGGCCACCTTTGCCCCTTTGGAAATCACTAGTGACCAAGGGCAGAGGGGGCCTGGCTTTCAGTGTGCACAAGAAGGCAGAGAGGCGGATGAGGAACTCAGAATCCACAAGCTGGAGGCCAAAGTCTCTAGTGCCACAGCTCACTTTGCTCATGGGGAAACTGAGACCCAGCTGAAACACTCAGGGTTTATTACTGTGTGCTGGTACTCTAAGTACCGTGTCATTGCATTATCCAAAGCCTGTGTCCTGACACTATTTGTGTCACAGTAAAAATTATTTATTGTAAAAGATGCCATGGGTACCACTGTACATGTACAGCTTAAAGAATGATAGCAATTAGCCAGGAGTGGTGGCACGTGCCTGTAACCCCAGGTATCTGAGAGGCTGAGGCAGGAGGATAGCAAATTTGGGGCCAGTGTGGGCAACTTAGTGAGGCAATGTCTAAAAAAGAGGGCAGGAGGTTGGGATGTAGCTCAGTGATAGAGCACTTCTGAGTATCATCCCTAATACTTAAAAAAAAGATAGTAGGAAAAAAATAATAGGAACTTTTTAAAGACCCATGTATCTTTCATCTAATTTAAAAAGCAGGCCAGTGCCAGTACATTTGAGGCCTTCCATGTACCCCATCATAAGTTCCTCCCTTATCCTGAGGAACTGCATTCCTGAACTTACATTAGTTCCCTTGACAAAGTTCTTACCACTTTTGTATGAATCTCTAAATACTATAGTTCAATTTTGCCTTTTAAAAAACTTCAGGGAAATAGAATCATTCTAAAATTATGTAACTTCTTTTATCATACATATTATGTTTGTTAAAACTCACATGTATTTTATAATTTATTTTACCACTGAATAGTATTCCATCTTATGAATAGACTCTTGGTTATTTGTCCTCTTTACCTGTGTATCTATAATTTATTTTACCACTGAATAGTATTCCATCTTATGAATATACTCTTGGTTATTTGTCCTCTTTACCTGTTGGATATCATTTCTGGGTGTGTGTGTGTGTGTGTGTGTGTGTGTGTGTGTGTATTTGCCATACTAAGAATTGAACCCATGGCCTTTGCACTAAGCTGCTTTCCAGTCTTTTTTTTTTTTTAATTATTTTTTATTTTGAAACAAAGTCTTGCTCAGTTGTCCAGTCTAGGCTTGAACTTGAGGTCCTCCTGCCTCAGCTGCTCACAGTGTGGGGATTACAAGTGTGTAGCACAATACCCTGTATTTCTATTTTTTTTCTTACTGAAAAGTGTGCTTTGTATATTCTTGTACTTATCTTTATGCACTTATAGCATTGAGGGCGTGGACATTTAGAGACTGGTAAGTTGCTAGCCCAGGGTCTGGGAACCAGTGGGGCTGGAATTCACACAGCCCTCCCTGCGAAGTCCCCTTGCAGCCTGCTCATGAGGAGGCCCCATCAGCTTGCAGGGTGGAGGGCGTGCACACGGCTAAGCAGGTCCTGAGACTGTTTCTCTGGGCTGGCCTGCACCCCCTTTGTCAGGCCTGTCTTGCTGCTTGTTTATCTGTGAAGATCTAAAAGTTTCTCTCTCTGTGTCCCCCAAGAATAGCAACCCAAGGGCTGGCTGTGGAGAGAGGGAGCCCAGATCCCTTGGCCCTTCATGTCAGCTCGAGACTGATGATGCTGACCACCTCCTGTGCTCTCGGTCACTCCAGGGCGCGATGTACCCTCATCTCTCTCTGCCCGTCTCGCAGGTGAAGAGAGCTCAGGGCTGGCACGTATCATTCATTGTAGTAAGTACCTTGAAGATAGAAAAAATATTAAGTGGCATCTCCAGGTTAATATTGTAATGATACTAATAATCCACCACAGCGATAATGCCTCACATTAGAGAGTGCTTGCCTGACAGTGGGCACTGTGCCAGCAAATGGCAGACACTTCTGGGCCTCTGCTTCAGCTTGTTGCTGGGCTGGGAGTGCCTCCTATCCCCTCTGACACTGCTGCCTGGCCCATTCCATTCATCTTTATGGCATGGTAGTGATGCCTCTTCCACCTTGAAGCCTGCCCTGACTCTGCAGATGCTGAGTGGCTTCCTTCTCAGCTGTCCCTCTGCACCCCAACTTTGTCCTCCCTAAGTGCGAGGTTGTCACTGCCAGCCTTGGGCCTCCTCTGGCCAGGATAGGCTGGGGGCTCCACCCGTGTTCCCAGGCCCTGTGCCTAGTTAGAGCGGCGGGACTGGGTGATGAGTCAGTTACACAGCTCCCTGCCCTCCCAGAATGAGCTGTGGTCTCGCTGTCTTCCGGCTCATGATAGTGGCTCCTTCCTTAGAAGCTGACTCTCTTCTGCAGAACCCAGGGCTACTGTGGGGAACCCCTGCTCCACTTACAGCTGGATTTTGCAAACCTTAGCCTCAGTGCCTGGAGCCCTCATCCCACTCTGCCTCTTGCACTTCCTTCTCAGAGGCTCTGTTCCTCATTTCCTTCCTGGAGGCTGCCTGCCCTCCAACCCCCTGCCTGTGCGCAGCCAGCGTGGGTGAGCTCTAGGAAACTTCAGGGCCTGTCATCCCTCAGGTTGGGTAGCAGAGGCTGGGAAAGGAAAGGTCCCAGAAATGACCTTGGGCAGCTCTGCCTGGGGAGGACACAAGAACTGGGCACCTCTGCAGGAAGGCTGCGCAAGAGCCCCCAAGCCTGAGCAGAGTGGCAGCGGGGGTGACAGTTAAACTCAGCAAGGCCTCCTGGGTATGGAGAAAGAACCATGTTCTTTCCATGGTTTGAGGCTTTTGGTATATTGGTGCCTTTTGTTTTGTGTTGTTTTGGAGATTGAACCCAGGGCCTTTGAGCTATATTTTCAGAACCTTAAAAATATTTTTTTTTTTAGTTTGAAACAGGGTCTAATTGCCCAGGCTGACCTCCAACTTTTTTTATTTTTGTTTGTTTTGTTCATTTTGACAATGTCTCACATGGTTCAGGCTGACCTTGAACTCACTATGTAGCCCTGGCTGGCCTTGAACTCGTAGCCCTCCTGCCTCAGCCTCCTGAATGCTGGGCTTACAGGTGTGTGTCACAACACCTGGACTAATGGATGTTTTAAATGGTAACCGAACAAATTAACCCCTTTTTAAAAATCATACACTTGAATGTGATACAATACACTTGAGTTATTGACAAGATAATTGAAGGAGTTGTTTTTAAAATATTTGTTTCCTTGGAGGAATGTCTGATTCCAGGGCTGCCACAGGGAAAAGGTGAGCCTGGAGCATCTTGTGGCCTGACAGCTAAGAAATGCTCCAAACACAAAATCGCAGG